ATCACAACAACGTGGCTGGGTTCGGTTGGCATAGCTGGGGGTGGATCGACAGAATGAATTGTCCAAGAAGACACCTGCTGCGAAGTTCCGTAGTGTGCGCCGAATGTACCCTGCACCTCCACCGAAGATGTTACGGGGAGATGACAAAAGACTGGTGAATTTGCAATATTTACACAAAGTGATTGAGACTACAGTAGCCAAGATGGCAGAAACAAAAGACAACCCGTCCTGCTCTTCTTGAACCAACAGGTGAGCGGCACATCACAATATGTTCTTAGTTGATGGCCATTGCTGGAAGTGCAAGCTATTTATAGGAAATTTTTCTAAAAGCACTCTTTAAGATAGGCTACCTAATCTTCTAATGTGCAGTACTGAAATGAGTATCACTATAATTGCAATAACATTGCACTATTCAACAATATTGGTGGCAGGTTGAAGGATATTGTCAAGAACCTCAACAGGGATTAACATGTAAAAGCTAAAGGTAATGCTTAACAGCCTAGTGAGAAAAACAAGAATTTCAGATTGGCAATATGTCTCTGAAGTCTATGCAAAATTATGTATATCTAGGAAAGTTACTAAAGGGGGCCTACTCATAAAATAAAAATTAACCGAGCACATACGGCAGGAACTCCTAAATCGTTAATGGCCACTTACTACTGTACTTTAAGTGAAAGATATACATAGTTTTCATGTGATCTCACCTCTGGAACTCTTGCCCTCTCCCTCCGCCCCTCCTGGGTACCTAATCCCCCGTTAACACGCTGCAGTGCAAAGTGTTGACGCGCGCAGTCATCTGTGGCTGCGTAAGATGTCGAAAGTAAAGTAGTGCGATCTTTTGCCACAGTACTTTGATGACCTCGTCAGACCAGACCACAGCCCCGTAGTTCAGTATTCCCGACGTCCTCGAACTGTAACAGCTATTCATGACAAGAGATGGCACCACAGATGCTGACTTGTTGCCCACCACTGCCAATGTGGAAATATTTATTTACCTCGTTTTCACCACAAGCTACACTAGCCAAGTACAAAGGAAAGCCTAAAGATTCTCGAGGTGTGCAATATTTCACAAGCTGATGAGTAAAGTGTCTCATTACAGAGTAGCTTCTACAAAACAGCTAGCCCACGCCATCAAAGTAGTTGTTCATTTTGGTAGTACCAGCATATTCGTAAGGACAACAAAGACGCTCATGAAGAAATGCAGGACTACGCAGCATGGTGCAGAATGAAAAATGATACCTATAATGAGACAGATCCCACAAGGTCCTCATTTTTCTTTTATCTCTGTATGCTTTAGTATCAATAAAAGTGGAATTTACATGCATTCTGCATATAATGGTTCACTAAGTAAAATGCCATAATAGGTGACATTAAAGGAGCCGTGTAGCACCATTGAACGTCCCATTTTTTACTCGTGGATAATGTAGACTGAAGTATGGAGCGATTAGTGCAGCAGAATAACCACACTAGTGGCACGCAGACCAAAGTTATTTAGTCTAGAAAGTTGAAAACACAAGAACAAAAAAAATGCTTACCCTCAACTCAATTTCCACATAGTCTCACACAACATTTCACTCGTTAGTGACACTGCCCTACACCACCAATGGAAAGAGCTGAAAGCTCCTACGTATGGGAAGCTTGCACACCATTGTTGCTTGTCCTGTCTGTCCACATATTGTTGATGCCATTGCCATTGTAATAAACATGGTGCCTGTAGCCTGACTTTCAGCAAGCACTACAGCATTGAAGCGAAGCTTTGTCTGTTGTACATTAAAATAAAATTCCATGCCACTACCTCTTCTCAATTTTAGATGGGAATTCGAGGACCTACAAAGGGACAGAAGCATGGTTCGCCCTATGTGGGTTATTCAATAAGCCGATTGATGAAGTAGTACAAGGGTGCAGCAACATCAGTTCAACGAAGGGGGTTGCTTGCACCTCTTCAACAACAATCAAAGCATGCAGCAGATGTTGAAAGAGGCTGCCTACAAACATACTGAAGCAATAGGAGGGAAGAGAGAGAAGCCTTTCATATGGGCATCTGATCCACGCAAGCGAAAAAATCCATAAGCAATGTGGCAAGCAGCCCCTCTATAGTGCTTCATAGTTGTAATTTTTTTCTTGCGACAGCGCCTATTACAGAATCAATAAAAAAGCATGAAAAAGAAAAACTAACCTAGTAGCATTCCTAATTTTCATGCTAGGCTACGATTGCATCAGATATTATATATATTCAATCAAAGGCTTGCATTCCCCTGAGTCATTTCCACCCGCAATAGTCCTGGCTAGCGCCACGTGCTCATGAGGTTGGCAACGATGTAGTGGCTTCATTTAGTCATCAAATACTAATCATTTGATATTGGTACTCAGAGATATGCTAATTTTATGCCCAGTCATCACTCTACTCAAACCACAAATAAAAAATAGGGGCTTCAAAAGTGTTGGAGGGCCCTTTAAAAGAAAAAAAAACACGTTTTATATACTGCATGAGACTTCAGTCAGCATATTATAAAACTATTCAGTTACTTGCTGTTCTAAGTTTTCCATTTGCCTCCTATGATCCACTCAAAGTTTTAATTAATTAAATACTAGGTTTAAAATTTCAAAACCAAGATATGATTATGAGGAGCATCGCAACGGCTGGTATACAAATTATTTTGAACATCTCGGGTTTTTGTTTACTTGCATTCAAGTCTAGGTACATGGAAAAACTACTGATAGAAATTGAACAGAATAATGTGAAGACCTTTTCGGCCTAAGAAGGGAGATGAGGCAAAAATAATGCTTGCACTGATATTGTTGCTCCAGCACAAGTTCATTTCTATGTTCCAATGGCTATTCATGTCACACTAGGCACCAATCGTAGCATGTTGACTACTTCATATGACACACTTCATGCTAGTATTTGCCACAAAAACCACAGTACTCAAAATCAAATAGAACTTTGTTATATTTGTTTGTTATTTGCATATTTCACGGGAAATACACCAACAACACCAACAGATAAAGTAAGCAATCTTTACTTTAAATTTCTGTGCCAGTTCTACTTTAGACATTTATTAACATGCAATTTCCTACTCATCAATCTTGTGTTTAAAATAAAAGACCTTGACTTAAAGATTCCCGAAAAATAGCAGCATGCCTAAAAGCAAACAAACAATTTATTTAAATGATAACTCGCAAGTGACCTCATGGGTGCAGTTTTTTTTAATGCACAGGTATTTCAACATGGCAGCTATGACGATGTTCATGTCAATGTATTATATTTAAGGTTGTGGTTAGCTTGCTTTTATGGGACAAAAACAGGGCCTGAATGTTGGTGGAGTTTGCACCTTAATATGGGCATGCAGAATTTGCATGCAGTTTTCTGATCACATTCTTGTGATGTCGTAAACACTCGTCTCCGACATGCCGGTACTACAATACATATCTTGCAAGTACATCACGCCAGGAAACTCTGGGATACTATCTTGGCATATTCGCCGCCATCACCGAGCACATTGTAGGAGACGACACCGAGTCAAGCTGTGCAGCTATCGCATTTCCCGTGAATGGCGATTTGTGCGATATTTGACTGCCGTACGAGAAGTGTAAATAAAATAAAAAGTGAGCAGAAGGAGGCACATACTGTTTGCCAAAGGTGATCACAAACCCAAGTGACCACACGAAAGAGCTGTCGGAAAAGTGAAGCACATGGCTTATGCGCGCATAAACAGGAAGGACATCAAGATTGAACAACATATGACCATGTGGGTGTCATTTCATAAAAGGCAAGTGATGTTTCCAAATCTTGTGCAAAGTCGTTCCACCCAAAACCAGCAACGACATTGCCTCGGACACTGCAGACACGGAGGACCCTAGTTAGCCATTCAACACTGCATCGCTGCAAGCTGCATAAAGTTCTGAACAATTCTTTGTCACACGGGGCAAGGCTAACAATCAAACATGCGCACTACACCACACAATCTGCCGCACGAATGTAAACACGGCGCTGTCACCGAGACTCACGTGCTCTGGGTGCTCAGTAATGGCGGACGAAAGACTGGAACTGACATCTCTTACAAGTTATGTATCAGGAAGCTATCTCTTCGTTTTCTACAAACCACTTAGTTTCATTTCCCAGATGTGTAGTACGGTCCACCGTTCAAAATAACACGCGAGCTTGTGGCCGGAGGGCCGTGTGGTGCTAACTGGCGGTGAGATTTGTAAATGCGCCGCCTGCACATAGCATTGTAAAGGCGGTGCGCGCCCAGTTTCATGGGCTTCTTCATTGCTTTTGACCATGTAAGTGTTGGAAAGCGGTTCCATATTTTTGCAGTGCAATTTATCCAGCTGCCATTGTGCCTCCTGCTCGTCGGATTTCCAAAAAGCATAAAAAATGTAAGGTTTTACTTATTGCTGCAATTTTTCACAAGCTCTCACTGTTAAGCCCGCCATGTTTTTCACATACTCCTTGCTGCAAATGGTCACTTTTGATCAAAGATAAGACTATGCAGCGAACATTCTAAGCTGGCCTTTGCAACCATGAAATATCAGTTTATTAAAGAAGCGATGGACTAAGTTGGTACGAGTCGATTTACAGTGTAAATACGAAAAGTAAAAAAAAGTCATGGCTCGCTAGCGCATGCCCATTTCATGGGCACAGAAGTAGCAGATGATGCGGGGCACACAGCACCTTCATGAAAAAAATGCTCATGCACGGCATTTCGAGCTCTCAACAGCAGCTAGCGCTGCGTGGACCACCAGCGACGCACTCGCATGTTCCCTTTAACAGTGGACCGCACTGTACTTATCATAAGACACGACGGTCCCATAAGAGCTTGAAAATGTCAAGCTTTAGCCCTTGCTTCAGATTGCCAAGTCGTCTAATAGGCTGATGCCGTGTGTTTGTAACGTAAGAGTAGTTGAGGGGAGGAAGGATACATGTCTATTTAAATCTTGATATTGAACATGTTGTTCAATTCTAAAACAAGTGGGTTAAAATATACGCCGATACTCACGCGACCCTCCAGTGATGGTCCCGCAGCACTCCTATCGATTTCCTTGGCTTTTTACTTGCACCTCGGGATGACTGTACAACTAGAACCAACAGAAATAAAAACAAAACGGCCAGTGAAAAAATATGCCGTCATATTACCATTCTATTTCGTCGGCACTCACGTTACTTGCAATATGCAAGCAGTTACGCGAGAAAATGTAGATATTCACTTTTGCTGACATAGGGCGTGCAGAGAATCGCACAAGCACTGTCTTCTTAAATTTCTTCGTTCAAGGCCAGCAAAGGGCACGACGGAACTGTAGCTGCGATTTCCACCTAAAAATGCATCATTGCAGTAAGAAGTACTTCTTAAATAACATGATGTTTTGTACCACGGAAACTCGAAATTTTGAGAACGCGATACCTAAACTAACTTCCTTTTCCATTTCTATATTGTCAAGGACACGCCCGGAAAACTGCAATGAAATTTAAATTTCTACTTAATCGTAAAAGTATTGAACTTACGTGCCTGATATTTTCTGCACCCGTGACTTTATAAAATACCCCGGTGCTGTTCAAATTACTAAACCGTGTTCGACGACATCAATGCTGCTAGGGCACGCCTAAAGTGCGTGATGCAGGCGAAAGATGAAGCCAAAGGCATTTTTCATAAGGTAACATCATATAAGGCATCTGAGCCTTTTTTTTTTTTTTTCTTTTAATTACCACAGCAGTTTACTCCTGGCAGTTGAGCAAGGTCGGCGCTCTCTCCAACGCTCCGACCAGGTAAACAGCGGTTAGCACTACCAAATCAAAATAGACATCGTTTTTGCGGTTTCCTCAAATAATTAGGCCCTTTATAACAACATGGAAGCATATTTGTACATACCCTTCGCGACAGATCCTAGCCTAATTTGAAAGCATTTGTTCAAAGTGCTCCGAGCACAACTCGTGAGCGCTGCCATCTTCGAAGTGTAGGCTCGCAGCAACTGGCAGTCAAACGCAAACAATGGGACAATCATTTCTCAATAAAACAAACTGCCAGTCATCAAATTCTATTGTGAACTAAAAATTTAGTTTCATCTTAGTTGCATGAAGACCTTGTTACCCGTGCCGGTAGGTGGATGCAGGGTAGTTGTGTTGGCGGCACGGCTATCGCGCGTAACGGCGTTACCGGCGACGCGTTACTTAGAGTATTTGTTCAAGCAGAGCATTGGTCCACGGCGGTTCAACAGAAGTAGCCTGTTCTAATACGCTGTAACAGAAGGAAGAAAGAGCTTGGAATCTGTGGCACACACACACGCTGAGGGATTGGCCAAGAACCGGGTAGTTCAGACGAAATACTGTTAATTTATGAGCTCACGTCTTTTAAACTAATCAGAGGGATAAAGGTAAAAAATGCTATATGAGAAATTTACAACTAGAGGTAACGGATATAGAAAATGAAGCAGATAATTGCAGCAACAATAAGGATTTCAATAAATGAAGCAATTTGGGAAAAAAAGTAAGTTAGGAGTAATAATATGTTCTACAGTCTGGATCACTTTGAAGCTTTAATAAACTCCTGCCAGGCCTCGGCAGCTTTCCCGTCACTGAATCCTAGAGACAAAGCCCCCAAAGAAAATACATTTGGAGTGTTTAACTCCAGTCTTACGAAACGGAAGACGGCATCTAATGTCATTTTGCACAATGCAGTGTATCAACAGACTGTAATGCAACAGCAGCAATGCAACAGACTCCACAATACCAACAATGGGGGAAGCAGCCAGACCAGCTCTGTGCAAACAAAAATTTACATAAGAAGTTTGACACCTCAGCCTGATTGCAACTTCAACTGTACGCGTGTGACATATTTTACTATTTCAACGATGATTAAGGTGTTGAAATTAAAATTTAGGTGTTGAAAAAGCGAATTCTCCTATCACCATTTTCCTCTTAAATCTAGCATTTATAATTATTTAGGTGCTGGTAATATGTGAATAACCGGCCATTTAACAATGACTTAGCTAAGGCATCCGCCATTTTATTGAGGAAGAGTTCTTTATGTCCTGGTACCCAAACCAATTTAACCAAAAGCATATACGGTGAAACTAATGATTTGAAAGTACTCAGCACTTGGGAGTTATGATTTGCAGTGAGAGAAGAACACACCGACAGCGAATCAGTTAAAATTATGGCCGAACTAGTTGATGCTGTTAATTTGCAAAGAGCTAAAATTATTGCAAAGAAATCCTGCTACAAAAATGGGTACAAAATCTGGAATGCATAGAGAAAATGACCAATATAGCTTAGGAGCGAATATCCTAATTCCACATTTTTCTTGATTTTGCGAACCACCCGTTGCAATGACTGTCTTTATTGGTGAATGAACCAGATAATCACTCAGAATATAATTTAAAATGTGGTCCGACATTAGTTTTGCTTGTTTTAGAAAAATTTCATCAAACTGTATTTTGATAGAGCTGTTGCTATCACTGATTGGAGATACAGCACTGGTGTCGACACTTAAGTTGTCAAGGAAGCTCTCCATATGAATAACTTGAGGCGTGTGAAATCTCGGCCAGTGTGCTCTAAAGAACAACTTGGGCTGGCAGATAAAAACTGTTTCGGGACACCTCACAACGTATTCATAAAGCTTTAAAATTTATGAAACCCATACGCGTTTCTCAGACAGAAGAGCCTCTTAGTTGCCGAAAATTCGTCCTGGTCCGGGGTTGGAACTCAAGACCAACGCCGTTCCGGAGCGGTCGCTCTTCCAACTCGGTTAACCAGAAAGCTAGCTATTGAGAGCACGAGGGCGAATTTGTGGACAACTCGAAGCACACGAACACAAGTACTGCGAATGAGTTCTGTGGAAACCTGCAAAGTGGCGGAAGGGTTAAGAAAGGTAAAAAAGACAACCAATCATTTATAGCACAAAGCCACAGGGAAATCGATACCGATTTCTCAGAAACAAAAGCCTCTTAGTTGCCGAAAAATTTGTCCTGGTTCAGAGTTTGTACCCCGGACCAACACCTTTCCGGGGCGGTCGCTCTACCAATTGAGCTAACTAGGAAGCTAGCAATTAGCAGGGCAAGGGCGAATTCATCGACAACTCGAAGCACATGAACACAAGTATTGCAAATTTGTATGGATTTCTTTGAGGCTTCGTGCTACAAACGGGTGGTTGTCTTCTTTCTCTTTCTTAACCCTTCAGCCACCTTGCGGGTTTCCACAGAATTCATTCGCAATACTTGTGTCCATGTGCTTCAAGTTGTCGAATTTGCCTTCGTGCTGTCAATTGCTAGCTTCCTGGTTAACTCAATCAGCACAGCGACCACCCCGGAAAGACGTTGATCGCAGGTTCGAACCCCACACCAGGACGAATTTTTCGGAAACTAAGAGGCCTTTCTGTAGGAGAAATCCGTATGGATTTCTTTGTGATTTCATGCAACAAACAGGTGGTTTTCTTCTTTTCCCTTCTTAAAACATTTGTGTGTCAAATACTTCTTTCTCTCAAACTATGACATTTAAGCATTTCTTTATTCCTACAAAACTTACACACTCATTTTGTTAGTCGAAGAAGCATAGTCAGAATTACTGTGAACTTATTAGAAATTAAACAAAGCATTTTCTCAGTTTTTCTTTCTTTTTTTATAGCAAAGAGCATGAAGAAATTGCATCTTGTGTTTAAAGTCAAAATGATAGCAATGGCGTCACCTTGTTCTACAGAGTTAAGAGGCCATCAAGTCACTCTTCAGGCAACTTTAGGCTACTGATATTACCAATGAACAATTACATCGGGCCAGTTGGTATGAATCCATCTTGGTAGTAAGCGCACAACTTATTCACAAGAACACAAGACACAAGCGCTTAACTTCAACTAAATGTTTATTACAAACGTCAGAGTATATAAAAGGGTGAAAGAGGAAAAAAGTAAAAGGCAGAACAACAAAAGCGCACGTGCAGTGCTGTACATTAATAGTACGAGTGGCGTGATTGATAATAATGAATAAGTAATGTACAGCACTGCACGTGAGCTTTTGATCTGTCTTTTACTTTTTCTTTTTTCATCCCTTTATATAGTACTCTGACATTTGCAATAAACGTTTAGGTGAAGTAGATCGTTTGTGTCTTGTGTTCCTGTGGAAAAGTTGTGCACTTCCTACCAAGATGGATATTACTAAGCTTCGGCATACTTGAGCAAAGTGTTTACATCAAATAACTCTTTTGGGTAAAATGGTTTGTTTTGGTGAAAAGGTTTTGTGTGAAACATGAATAAAAGCTTTTTAAAATTGTTACTTTCGGTTCTTCCAGCAAAAATGCTCAAATCAAAATTTCTGACCATGATGTAGTGGCAGAAGCCACATGCATTTTTTTTTTTTTTTGCAGTAATGGTAGCTTGTAACCTTTTTGTGTATGTGGGGGGGGGACACAGGGTAGTGAAGCGTTCCTTCATTTCAGCATAACAAGTAAAATATTGACTTTACTTTTCTTCAGCATGCCTTCAACACGGCACATGTCACGGCGAGTCATGTCACATGCTGCTCACACCTGATGATACATCACATCAATGATGACAGTTATACCAATGCCCCCTCAGTTGGTCTTGGGACAATAAATAGCGAATATTACAAAGATATCAGCAGTCATGCAGACACTGCGGAATCAGGGCGTCGACGAAGCATATATAAACATCTTGAAAGATATCTACAGGGGATCAACTGCTACCATAGTTCTTCATAAAGAAAGCAACAGAATATTAATCAAAAAGGGTGTAAGGCAGGAGGATACAATTTCCCCAATGCTATTTACAGTGTGCTTATAGGAGGTTTTTAGAGGCCTAGAATGGGAACAGTTAGGCATAAGAGTTAATGGAGAGTACTACCTTAGTAACCTGCTCTTCGCAGATGCCTTTGCATTGCTGAGCAACTCAGAGGACGAATTGCAACTCATGATTACGGGGTTGGACAAGGAGAGCAGAAAAGTAGGTCTTAAAATTAATCTGAAAAAAATGAAAGCAATCTACAACAACCTCGGAAGAGAACAGCTCTTTGAGATAGGTAATAGTGCACTTGAAGTTGTAAAAGACAATGTCTACTTAGGACAGGTAATAACCGTGGAGCTGAAGCACAAGTCTGAAGCAACTAGAAGAATAAGAATAGGGTGGAGCACATTTGGCAAGCACTCTCAAATTATGACAGGTAGATTGCCACTATCCCTCAAGAGGAAGGTATATAACAGCTGCATCTTGCCGGTACTTAGCTACGGAGCAGAAACCTGGGGACTTACAAAGAGGGTTCAGCTTAAATTGAGGACGACGCAGCGAGCAATGGAAAGGAAAATGGTAGGTGTAACCTTAAGAGACAAGAAGAGAGCAGAGTAGATTAGGGAACAAAACCGGGGTTAAGGATATCATAGTTGAAATAAAGAAGAGGGAATGGACATGGGCCAGGCATGTAGCACGTAGACAGGATAACCACTGGTCATTAAGGGGAGCTAACTAGATTTCTAGAGAAGGCAAGCGGGTTAGGGGGGAACAAAAGGTTAGGTGGGCAGATGAGATTAAGAAGTTTGCGGGTATAAATTGGCAGCAGCAAGCACGGGACTGAGTTGACTGGCGGAACATAGGAGAGGCCTTTGTGCTGCAGTACACGTAGTCAGGTTGATGATGATGATGATTACAAAGACACCCAAACATTCTGCAGTTACCGGTATTCACAGTTCTTACCTATCGTTGCAGCCACGTTGGGTGCTCCTCTCACAATAATAAGCCAAAGTAAATAACGTGTGAATGAGCACTCACAAAGGTTAAGTATACAACAGCACTCATTTATAATAGTTCTATTTATAGTGAACTTGCAGTTACTACAAAACATTACAATGCTCAAAGAGCTTCGCAATAAGCCTATCAATTCACTGTGGCCTTTCTGCTTGCTGACATGCCACCAAGTGCCATCTCGCCAATGTGCAAATAAACTGAAAAAGCTATTCATTTATCATAGCCCACTAGCATGCTCAGTTCGATTGAAGCAGGATGAATAATAAAGCCGTGACACCTCAATGAGCTGGGCAAAGGTTCTAAGCCACACAACATTGCAATTGCATAGACAATTAATGCTGCATGTGAGCACCCTTCTTCAACAGTTTTCTTGTCCTCTAGTAGCCTATACTTTTTAACAGGC